TGGAGAATTTCTGATACTGTATAGTCGTTTTTTCCTACGGGGAAGTTCAAGTTAACGCATTCCACTAGATATTTTCTTTTGCTTTCGTTGAAAGACAGCATAAGAGTTGGATCAGATCTTTACAAAAACTCCAAACTAGCCTTTAGTCAAGGAAAATGAGTGACTCGACTATTGTATCTATATTCACAACAACAAATTTAACAAAATAAACCAGAATCCAGACCAAGATGATTAGCTTCTTTTCATGCCAATCTGAGTGTCTCTGTGTTTGGGCTTTTATGCGTTTGAAAGTTTGTATGAACGCATATTAAGCTACCCCTGGTTACTCTAAATAATTGGAATAGAGAGTAACATTAGCCCTAGGTCATTAAAGTTGAATGGATCAGTGATAGACAACTTTGTGAGTGTATTTTTCTCATCAAAAAATAACAATATTTGAACAGAGACTACCTGGTACGAGATAGGCAGCCTGAAACAGCATCTCATTTGAACGTTGCCATAATTTCCTCTCAAAAGATAAGCGAAGTGACAATGAAATAAGGAATAAAAACACTAAAATCTCATTCAGTTATGCCCACTTCTAGGACGAAAGTGGGCAAGGAGGAGGCACCTAAATATGGGTGAGACGAGTCACTATAAAACTGGATGAAAAAACTCTTGAACCAAAAGATAATAAGTGGACGAATACAGTGTGATAGTACAAATAAATGCTATTGAAATGATGATATTGAAGGATGGATCAAATGTAAGAGCTGTGAGTAGGAAGTTATGTAAAAACTGAGTATGCTTGATTGATAGAGAGGATTTAGAGACAGATACAAAAAGTCATTTTTTAATATCTTTAACTCAATCAGACGTACGTTGGGAATTATGCCATATTAAGCCTGCGTTAATTGGGGGCAGTAAACCGTGGTAGCCTATGACTGATGTCACTCTTTGTTCTAATTACATAAAGTTGTCAATTGTGGCATTGCATTGATACAAGCACGCATGCACACATACGAGTAGACAAATAAAAAAATCGACATGAAAAGAAACTTTCTAATCCAGTTGATATGTCCTTTTATTAAGTTCTTTCTGCTGTATTTGTGAGTAGGAATAATGCGAAAGAGCCAGTTAATTTTACCAGCCCGATCCAATTCTGATAATATCTAGCAACGAAAAGTCAAACATATCTTCGTTCACAACTAGGATGTCTTGACTACCAGTATGAGATGTATTTAACCTACTTCGTTTAGGGTAAAGAAGGACTGATTGTTGAAATTTCCCATAAGATTATGAGTAGAACTGACGTTTCCGTTGAATTTCACATAGCTTTGCCTCCCCAAAAGGTTTTCTCATCCCGGATGGAGTGGACTGCAGTTTCCACCTCGACTAGGTCTTATTAATACCCCTCGAGGGACTCGAACATGACAGTCCGGTGTGTAATCTCGACATGTTAACCAACACGCCACATTCCCACAAGTGTCCTGGGGACACGGGGCAGATGTGAATTTCAAGGAAGGCCAGGCATTTTCCCATATAATATGCTCTGTTGGTCCCGCTGTGGATGTTGATAAGACCAATGCGAGGTCGAAACTGCAGTCCACTCTGGATGAGAGCACTATTTGGGAAAGCTAAGCAATGTGAAATTCAATTAAAATGCCAGCTATACTCATATCATTGTTGGAAAATTCAACTACCAGTCTTACATCACCTTAGACGAAATAGAGTGAATACATCTCATAGAAAAGTTAAACAGCTTTCTCCTTAACAAAAGCAAGTGCTTCAACTATATACTTCCCAGTAAAATCAGACCATTGCATTGGGAATAAACCTAGGAATCCCCTTTTCGAGGACTTCCATTCGAAGTGAAAGTCAAGTCAAAATATTAATAAAAGAACACAAAGTATGAACAACCTGATTCTGTTTCTCCTCTAGGCTGCAAGTCGACGGGTAGTTTGACACGTCGGATCAAAGCCAGGTATCTGTTATAAAGTAAGATGATAGATAATAATAAATGGATTTCACTCTGACCTGTCTTGAACAGTTCGAGAAATTAATGAGCGATCTAATTATTTTTGAGAGGTATCCACAATCATAATAGGAAAAAAAAGTGAACAGTACAAACGAGATAGAGGAGAGAAACAGGAAAATGTAATGATTATGGGCACATTGAAAATACTGAGAGCTTGTTGAGCTGTAGAAATTTCTTGCCAGCGCAACTAGATATAAATTAATAAATAAATAGGGTTGAAGGCGTTGTTTATATTAGAATTTTTAGCAGTCACATCAATTATAATCAAATTTTCAGTGCGAATTTTAGGTATTAAAAAATAAAAACCAATCGAGGGTTAAAATTCATAAAATCTTGGGCTCAAGGTTTGGCCCTTTAGAAAGTTTACTGTATATATCTTTGTTATGGTTTTGCCTAAGTGGAGAAAGGAACTTGGTATCATATACTTGAAGCATTATGTAAGCATAATCGTTTGTCAAAAGCTAATGCGTCCAGTTTATGAGTTAATAGAAACATTTTTGCAGAGGACATCAATCAAAGTGGTCCCGAAATAAGCGCTTTCTTGACTATGATAAGATCAGCTAGGAATGAATGGTTTGGGAAATTAACTAATGAATAAGTATAATAAATGAATAAATTAAATAATATTTCGTCCCAACAACGATTTACATCGAGAAATACCTTAATACCACATTTGTCTATTAACTGTTATATCAATGAGTGATATTAATTAATATAAGAGACCAAAAAAACAAAAACAAAGTGTGATTCAGCAATAATACAAGAAAATGCGCCAAAGAAAATGGCAACCGCTTTGCCTCTTGAGTGAATACGTTTCATAGTAAACGTTTTTAAAGTAGTATGACTTCAAAGTGAGGCCCCAAACAAGCTGCATTTCGGCCAGCCTAAGAGCTATAGTCAGCTGCCACTTGTATGAAAGCTAAATAGTCATCTAAGTAGATGAGCTCTTATCTAGTTGATATCTGAAAAGCAGTCTAACTGTTTTAAAGAATTACTTGACGGTTAGCCTGCTAAATTAACCGTGAAGATGCATGTAAAGTTATGGCAACAATTCACCCATATCTGAATGCGAAATGACGGGGTGACTGAGTGGATATCGCAGAGGAATTGTTCAACCAGATTCCCAATCGGTAATCGGTAAACTAATCTTATATGAAATGAAAGCAAAATAATGTCGTCAGCTGATATAGCTCCAAACAGATAAAAGAGAAATTAGTAAGCTATATAAAGTAAGAAAATATTAGGCATAAGTACTCACTAGAACATCAATTATTGGTAAAAAATCTGATCTAAAGTAGTATTTGTAAGTTAGATGCATTTACTGAGCGGTATAAAAGAAAGTACCTTCTAATTATTCATTGAATCGGATCGTTGTACCGGTTCATTTACTATAGTTTCACTGGTATTTGAGAAATGAAAAACAGAATAACGACTCATCAAAGGAGTCATCAGCCTTGAAAAAGCTCATAAGTGAACAGTGATAGAGTGTGAGCATTATGTGGCTCGTACTTTTAGAAAAATCCACGAACGATGTAAATAAAAATGAACCAAGAAGTTTAGTAAAGCAATAAGCGAATGGATGACAGGCAATCAGATTAATCAGGAGGAAATCAGTAGTCATGCCTTAAATAGCCTGACATAAGATCAGGCCGATAAAATACAATCAACCAGAGTGAATAGTTTTTAGTCATCTTTTTCTGCTGGACTTCTTTCCTTTTATTTTTTGTCTTTAGTAGGTTTTCGAGGCTACTAGTAAATCAGAGATAGAAAATGTGTTCAGCCAATTTCTTTTAAGGTGAAAAAGTCCTGGTAAATGAATTTTCCCACAATGCTAAAAGTAGACCTTACGTTTCCAATGGATTTCGTATAGCTTTGTATTCCCAAAAAGTATTCTCATCCAAAGTGCGTCCCTCTGACAACAAGACCAAGTTGCAGAAACGACGTCTGACCACTTCTATGTATCAAAATAAGACTGCGACCAAAATAGAAGCCAAAACAGCTTTGTCTTCATTTCCACGTTTAAATTTGTAGTTTTCCTTTACAATTTGCTAATTGGCTTAGGATTAGATAGAAGAGGTTTTCTAAATCACCAATCAGTTTTTTAATAGAGTTGCAGTCACCATAAGTCATTGTGAAAAAAATTAACTATCGGTCTTTCATCCATTTACGCGACCTAAGCTCACTAGAACTACAATTTACAATTTACTGATAGTCTTAAGAACTTAATTTATATAAATATAAATAAAGAAGCTATAAAAATATTTTTATTAAAATTCGGGAATTGGCTCAATTCGTTCAATTTAGTAATCTTTTTATTTTACCAGTAGCAAAAGCTTATAACAAATGAAGAGAATCCAAATGTTAAGCAACGTTTTTTCTTTAAAAATTCAAAATTAGTATAAAAGTAAAGTATAAACCAAAGCTCACAAGGGTGGAAATAATGAAAAGATTTGGTAGTTATAGTAAGTATTTCATGAAAATGTGAAATTCGTTAAAAATATATATATAGATTTATGCCAAAAATATAATTATGTAGTTGAAAATACAGCTGTCCAAATAAATTTCGTTGACAAAGTAAGGCCTTGTCTTACAATTCATGGTAGGGTGATCAACTGTCAGCTACTATGACACCAAACAATGGGACGTCATAAATACACATTATCGCGGTATATGGGAAACAAGGAATTTCTGAAGTTGACTAAATCATGTCAACTCTGAGGGCCCTTGGCAGTAGCATCGTACAATAAAAGAGTAACATGAATCTATCAATTTAGGCGTCATAAAAGTAATTAACACCCATGTCAAGGTCGAAACCGGAAGTTATGTTGGACGAAAACAAAGTTAGTAATAAAGGTTTGAGTGAAATTCAATGAAAATTTCCAGTCACCTTCCCCAATTATAAAGACTAAATCAGCCATCAGTCCTTATAGCATTAGCCGACCGATGGTGATTTTTAATCTTAAACAGTGTTCTAGAGAGAGTCTTACCCTTCGTAATCACATAGTCCAGGGGGCCCAATGTTCCCGAAGGGTGCAAATGATCCATTGTCAAGTTTTGGCTCATTTAGCTGCCGGCTTGCTTCAACGATGCTGTTGTCATTTTGACAAAAGATGTCTTCTTCATTAACTGGCTGAGAATCAATTGCAACTTTTGCATTTGGCTGTGTTGTAGAATCCAGAAGCTCCTCTGCATCAACAAGGTTCGTTTGCAAAATATGTAACTGATCCCGATTTGAAGCCAGCTGACGCAGAAGGATAGCACGTTGAAGAGCGAGAAATGGGAGTCCGAGGAACCGATGCAAGTAATGCAGACCGAAACCGTTGCTCATAGAGGCTTCGCAGTAGCGAACAGAAATAAGTCGAGCATTTCCTGAACTGAATGAGGAAAAATGGAAATTAATGGCAAAATCGTGAGCCGAATGTCTTAGGAATTGCTTTTGTAGAAAGGATGTTAAGCTCAAGTGTCTAGATCAACATCAGAGTGAACAGTAGGCTTAATAGCAGTAATCAACTTTGGAGAAAAAAATATTGGGAATATTAGATACTCCCACTGTTTTGTGTGAATGATTTCTAGCTATTATTTGCACCGCTATGGTATGTACGTATAAGGCTATAAGCTTATTTAAATGATAACAAACAGAATGACGGTTAATCAAAGAGAATGGCAAATCTTTTGGTGTACGCTTTTGTTTCGTTTAAATAGGCGAGTATAAGAAATTCGCCAGTTGACCTCACCGAAAGCCGAATCAGGATTTGTGAATAAAGATAAAGAATAAGTCTTCGGCGAACCATTTCGCGACCCTAATAGATTAATGATGAGCTGGTGTATATATAGCCGCGAAAGACATCATCAGAGCAAGAGACTAAGCTTAAATGAAAATTAGCCAAGCAGCATGAAAAGAAAGATGACAAAATACAATCATATCTACTTCTCATAGGCTGACCTTTTCCGTTTAATGAAGCACCTCATGATTTGACTGAATAGTTTAGGAATCTCTTCGATACAAGCAGCCTCCGAGACCATCGTTAATTCTCGAATAAGAAATCAGTCGTCTTATATTGCTTAATATGATTTAAGGACTAATATTTAAGCTTTCCCAAAATCAAATGAGTAGGTCCCAGTATGCAATTGAATTACACTAAGAATTACTTATTCAAGAATTACTGAAAAGTTCGAAAACTACTCAAATCGTAATAAGTAAGGCCGTCAATTGCAATTGTTTTAATGTCCCACTTCCTTGATAATTCGTATACATTCCATGAGAATTAACAGAATGGTAGCACCAAAACCATGATGGAGTAGTTTACACATTTATCTTACTCGAACCAGATGTCTCTTTCCATCCAATTAGCCAATATTCGCAAATAGTCTTGAGGGACTAGTGTCTTATTGGAAAATTGTGCTTATTATCCATTTACTCAATGCTACAGTCTACACTTCAAAAGGTCTTAACGATCATATTGCAGGTTATCTAAAATCTAGATCATTTTATCAACAAAATCAGCACCAACCGAAACTATAACTGGCCCTTATTTGCCTGCTATCCTTGTCCTTTAGTATACTTTAATTTGTTAAATCTCCTCTTCTTAGATGTCCCCTCTGCATAGTGATCAATTAAAATTAAGAGCCGGAACAGGTATATCATTTCCTCTTAGTACCTACCCTTCATGTTTCTCGATAACATATTATGTTGATTTTTGCACCTAAATTTTTTAAGCTTTTTATAGTCCTTAGATCTTGTTTGCCAAAAAATGCTGGCATATAGATTACTAGATTTTGTAATTGAGATAAATCTTCCGAGGTAATAGTGTTAGACAATGCTATTCGGAATATGGTTATGTCATTTTAAAAGAATGTCGTTAGGGGGACCTCTATTTCGAAAGAAAGTGAATGAAGAAGAGTTTCGTTGGTCAATCTCATCAGATGAAGACGGATGAAACTCGTTGTACTGCAGCCGTTTGGCCTAGTGCTAACGTAATACCTTTACAAAAATGATACCCAGCTATGATGATGTTCATCGAATGAAGGAAGAAAGCTCAGCACGTTTTCGCCTGAAACGAGGAATGAAGTTTTGTGGACAGCTTCAGGATGAATATCGTATAAAAGCAAAACGGCTGTAGTACAAAGAGTTTCATCCGTCCTCATCTGGTGAGATCGACCAACGAATCTCTCCTTCATGCACTTTCATTCGAAATGAAGGTCCCCTAACAATGTTATCTCAGGAGATTGATCGAAACCAACTTTCTCTTCGTATCTAAAAGAATGTCATTTTAAGATGATTTCCTTGATTCAAAGATTTTAAAAATTATCACATACCCTCTGGAATACTTGTTAAGCTCTATTAAAACAATATAAACTATGAATAGTATAAAGCATAGAAGTTATTTCAAAAAAATGATATAGCCAAATCACCTAACCATTAATTTCAAAAAAATGGACTTATTCGCACAAATGAAATCACAACTCAAAGATACTCCTCCTTCGGCTTCTAATTAGGCCAATTGACACTTTCATTTGACTCACCTTTTCATACAAAATGAAGGGTACAACGGCATGGAGTTATTAAGGTATTCTTCGGGACCCATCTTCTCTCCATATACTGAATTTGTTCCATAAAGCCTACTTTGTATTGCATTCCAAAAGGTAATTTTTAATGCATATTGGACCCTATACATGTTTCATAGATACTTTCAGAGAGAGTTTGACCCTAAACGTCAATGTTACAAGAGAAACACTTTGTCCTCTAAGCAAGAAGACAAGCCTGACTTTTAAAGCATAGTTATTCTATCAATAACTCGGGTATTACTTATAAGTAGTCAATAATTAAATATTAAATATTAAGCGAGACTATGAACACCAGGCTGTGATCAAGATTGAGTCGATATGACCTGGTTTCGGAACTTAGTCGGGACGAGAGAGAGATCTTATCAAGCATACATACTTCTTTA